CAAAGTCATTCAGCCAACTTTTCATGCTAAGGTTGGACTAGAACTCACAATCTCTTGGTTTCTAGTCTTATGCCTTAGCCACTAGATCAAACTGGTTCTTCTATTGGTTGCTGTCTTTAATCTAGTTTGGAAAGGACAATATTAGATTGAAACTAAGAAGTACAAACAATTGCATCCATCTGCCATCTGTTCAAGATACATTCTGCATATACACATAAACGTTGATCTGGACTGCAATCATAGAAAAAGTATAGCCAAAGGCGTTATTAAGCAGGTTCTGACCAGTTCTGGGGAGCCGATAGTGGAAATTTTGAGTAGTTTGGAGAACCGGTAAATGCCACCTCTGACTGGCCCCACCCCATCTATTATTTGCCTCCCAAGTCCCAGCTGATCAGGAGGAAATGGAGATTTTACAGTATCCTTCCCCTGCCATGCCCACCAAGCCACACCACACCCACCAAGCCACACCCACAGAACCAGAAGTAAACAAATTTGAATCTCACCACTACTGGTAGCTAATAAAAAGAGGTGGTCAGCATACTAGCTGGCCAGTTTGCTGGCTTCCCCAAGAAAGAAATGGATGTGTGAATGACTCAGTTATTGGAAAGTGGTTGTGATTGGAATTGGTACCCCTATTTAAGGGCAGTTTCCATGGAAATAAGAAAAGTGAACTTGGCAATGATTAGCCAAGAGAGATATGTCCAAAAGTGCATAATGAGCCATTCCTGTATAAAAGGGACCATCACTTGGATGCCAATCCCCATTTCTGGCCCTACAGCTTCAGCCCTTGATCTTGGTGGCCAAGATAGATAGTGTGCTTGATCTCAAGCTGCTAAAGATGTGGGATATTTTATTTTTAAACTAAGAAATATTCAGTAAATTCAATGCCAGCTGTATTACACAAACCATCAAAGGATGTACAGTATGTTTGCATTAGTTTGAAGGCAATCCATAGTAATTATAAATAAACACAAACCTAATTGTGTTCTCTTCTTCTTTACAGCAAATGGTTAGTTTTATTTGTGAGCCTGTTGGAATATTCCATTATTTATGACATGTCGACAGAGATGGCATCCCCAGACTCAAATCACCCAGATATGTAAGTCATATATAATGTTTTCACATCTTTAGACCCATAATAAATTCAATATCTCTGATTTCTATTATCAAAACAGTTCCTAATATATGTATATTGGTGTTAGCATGATATAGTTTGTTAGTGCAGTAAAGAACAAAAGAAATGTGCTTTCATACATGTTATACATGCATGCATACATTACTGTGTTCTTACATGCTGAGCTAATAAGTTTCCAGAGTGATCTTTTGTGATCATGGACAGTAAATAAAGTAAAATACCAATAAAAGAGAATATATGTAGTTCAGAGCTGAACTGTGGAGTCCTTGGAGCTCTGTGAAGCTTCAAAGGAATAAAATTTGCCAGGGAAGAAGAAAACAATACAATATCCTTCCTAGATATATTTTTCAACAGAAGAAATTAGAAACACAACCCTGTTGAAAAACAACCCACATAACCAAGTGTTCCATTACCAGAATAACAATCCAATCTTCCACAAGAGTAGCTGTGCAGGAATTATTATTCAGAGGAGGTATGGAATGTGTGGATAAGAGATGCTGCCTAGGAACCAGACGAAAGCAGCAGGAGCCCCCAGTGGCTTAACAATCAGAAAGAAACTTAGTAATGACCTGCTCTAATCATCTACAATATACGGTGGATGTAACAATCACTTCGTAGGACAGATAGGCAGAAGACTAGTTGAGCACATCCATGAACATCAGCTTGTTCAAAGAAGACACAGTGAAACTGAGAAATTGAGCATCCTAGACCAAACCAAATCCAAAAATGCTAGGAGACTCCTGGCATTCAGACAAATCAGATATCAATAGACACATAGAACTAAAGCATATGTACACATTTAGAAGAGACAACAAAAAACAAAGAAACAAAAAGTCCAGCACACATCCTCTCTCAATAGCCAACCACCATATAAGCAGCGATTAATGCCAAACAATACCCTATTCAAGGGTTAGGGGAAAACCTCTTTCAAATCAACACTGACAGGGCAAGCTACTGCAAATAAACCGGGAGCAAAACCCAAACCTACACTGAGGATGTTACCTAGTTGGATAATGAAATGTCTGCAAGCAAACATCCGAGCTCAGAGAGCGCCAAGGATTCCAAAGTAAAATACATGCTATGGTGCTGTCTGCCATTCCACCCCTTGGTATCTTTGGAACCTCCGCAGAGTAACTTGTATGTCTATGGGTATTCTGAAATATTGCTGCATTTTTCTATCAGTAAAAGTTGATATTTTACTTGCAAACTAATTTGAACATACAGTTTGCCAGTACCAGAATGCTAACCGTTTCCTCAGGATTACCTTATCCTCATTGCAGAGGTTTGAAAAATGGTAGATAGGTAAATAGGTAAGGTAGATTAGAAACCCAGGGCAGTGATGCCTAACCATTTTGTCTTTGCATGCTGAAAGAGTGTGCCCGCANTTCCCTGAAAATAAGGCCAAGTGCTTATTTCAGGGGTGAAAAGAAAATAAGACCCTGCTTAAACTAAGTTTATTTTTTTTTATTTAAATCAAGTACATGGTATATTCATTATCACATTCCAAAGACATATAGTAAGGGATTCTTTCTTAGTCAACTGGGGAAAAATAGTCTTCACAGAAACAGAATTGTATAAGGGGCCCCACGCCAAAGTTTCCATTTTGCACACGACTGCTTGATTCAACTTTCCTGTTCTTTTAGAGTGAGGTAGCGGGTAGAGGGGAATGTGATATCCTGCTTAATATTCATAAGCATAAGAGGCATCAAAGCATGTCTGTAAGAAAACAAAAGATTTTGCTGCAAGGTATTCTTCATATTTGTTCTGTTTCCCAGTCACTGACCTTTTAAAACTAACTTTGTTTCTTTTTGTCTCTAGTGACAGCATATTTCAGATTATCAGCGTTTCCAAGGAAACGGGTCTGGGCCTGCAGATTGTAGGAGGCATCGACAAGGATGAAGGGCCCTTGGTGTATATTCTGGCAGTTATTCCTGGAGGAGACTGTCATAAGGTAGAGAAAGCAGAGAAGAGTTGGGGAAGAGGGTTTCTATCTCTGCTTTTCTCTTTGCAACCCAAGGCGGACGTGAGTGCCATTGATTGGCGTCTGCCTATATCTTAGAACTCTTTTTCAGAATTAAAATTAATCTCTAACTTAGAGGAGCAGCACACCTCTTGCTACATCCCTCTGAATTTTGCCTTCCTCAAATAAAAATGGGCATAGCTTCATTCTCACTACCATATTCAACATCCTGATGACTCACAATATCCTGCAGACACCTCTGATGTTAGATATTCTGACAGATATTTGAGATAGGTACCAAAGCGGGAGTATAGACTGGTTTGATCCAGGAACTGCCTGGGATCAGTCAGCTGTCAGTACAGAGTCATCTTCTTCAATGCAGAGGTTTTACCAATGAAGTGCTGTTTGCTTTGATGCTTTCAGGTTTCTTTTTCCCATTGCACTTTGTGTTTTAAAGTTTCATGCCGCGCTTTGAAGAGAAATATTCTTAATCAGTGTTTTGAAATTCCCTAAACTTCGATATTGTGTGCACTGATTTCTCTGTGTCATCTGGATAACTTCCAAGCACCTGAAATGTCTCATTTAAATATGGCACGGGTGATAACACTAGGCTGATCTTGTCTGTACTTGAAAGCCAAGAAGGGTCAGCCCTGCTTAATTCTTGGATGAGAGATTGTCAAGTAATTTTAGATTATTATGGGCTAGACTGGGATGTTGAAAGACATCAAGGAAGAAAGCAGTGACAAAAGCACTTCCATGTTATTGCCAAGATAACTCATGAACTCATTCTGAGTCAAACCGAACTTAAGAGTTTCACTTGACATATGTTTAATTTACACATTATTACAGCAAGAATATAGACAGCTGTTGATCAATTAATCCCCATTTTCAAAATTTGCAGATCTCTGCGAGCAGAACTCTCTGGATATCGTTGGTTTTTTTTTTAATACTTTAAGAAAGTAGTCTTTTCTATCAGTCTGATTCAGAGTGGATGCCAGAACTGGGCAACCTGGTGCACTCCGTATGTTTTGGGCTGCATTTCCTATCACCTGTTTTCATGTGCCTTATTATCTGCAACTGTTAGGTTTAATTTCTTACATTCAAATAGAGGATGTTCTATTTGCAGGTACTGCCACAAGATGTCACCATTGTTGCTTGTATTATCACGCATTAGCACAGCCTTCCCCAACTTGGTGCATTCAGGATGTACCAGGATTGCAGTTCCCAGGCTGGTTGGAAATTCAGGAAGTTGCAGTCCCAACATATTGAGTGTTAGCAATAGAAAGCTAATCAGAAGGCATCTTAAAAGAACCATCAAATGCAAGTGCTCAATAATACTGTAGCTGAAGTTACTTTTAAGAAGGTGCAACCAATTAGCATCTTATGGACCATTGGAATACAGAATGTTATTAGAGGGGGGGATTAAAAATACTAATGGTGGTTTATTGTAGACATTGATCTGCATTGCAAGAGGTACTTGCATTGTTTTCTGTGAACCTTTCTTTCATTCCAAGTATTTCATACTGACAGTCCCACAACTCCTGTTATTCCTTTTTTTAAAAATCTTTGTGGGTATAATTTCCTTTATTTCTTTTGCAATGTCTTATTGCTGCCTGCATCACAACACAGGCCCTTTAAGACAGAAACCCCAGACTATTAACATGGTACCTTGATGACAATAAAGAATTCTTCTGGTACTACCCTGAGAAATAGACAGCAGTAAATCAGCCTTCCTCGGTCTGATTTTAACTTCAAATCCCTGACTGAAGGCTGGTGAAAATGTCCTGAATTTATTGACATAAAAGTCAATCCATCATCTTTATATCTTTCTAATCGAGTTGTTCACTGAAGTATGTCTGCAGTAGTCATTGACAGCAGATTTTTATTTTCATCCCTTTGATAATAAATTAATCAAGTTCAGGGTTGGATTAACTAGTACAGAAATTCTCATAGGCTATCCGTGGCTTAATTCTATAACAAAATTAAACATCTGTAGTTTAATGTAAGCTAACCTCAGATCTCCCAGAGTTGTTATTTAGGCAAAAAATAATAATAGCAATTCAGTTCCCCAAGAGAGTGATATTAATTTTCTCTTTAAACGTCCCACCCACTTTTATGAAAAACCCCTTGGACATTATTTGTAGGCGGTCCCCAGCTATGCTGGATGGATTAGAAAGCATGGAGAAAGCTTACACAAAACATTATTCTGAGCTTTGGTGAGTTTGTAATCTCATTTTCTTTTCTAAAGGCATAAAGCAAGAAGCTGGTACCACTTCTATATCCTTACATATCCCACACCAGAGGGAATCCAGTCTGTCTGGCTTCTTATTCAAGAGAGACTAACAGTATTTTGGATGTCTGGTACTACAGAGAATTATGCTTCCTTTTAATTCAGTAGACCAGGGGTGCCAAACTCAAGGCCCAGGGCTGGATTCAGCTCATGGGGTGCTTAGATCTGGCCCATGGGACCACCCTGGAAACTGCAAAGGATCAGCTTGTGGTGCCTCTGTCAGTGAAAACGGAGCTCATGAGGGCTGCACGTGGCCCTCCTGAGCTCCATTTTCACTGGCAGAGGGTTGCAGGAGGCCATTGCAGCCAAAAAATAGAGCTTGGAAAGCTCATTTTCGCTGGCAGAGTGCTCAGGCCACCACAGACGCCCTCAACATGAGTGACATCAAGCTGGGCACGCCCATCCTGTGTCCCCCCCCCCCCCTGCCGGTCAAATACAACCCTGATGCGACCCTCAATGAAATTTGAGTTTGACACCCCTGCAGTAGACAAAATAAGTGACTCTAAAAGAACAAGACTTACTATGGAGTACATATTTTTCAGAAACATATGCAATATAGTGAGATTTCTTTGAATATCCTTCCATGTGGGCGTAGTGCCCTTCAATGCTAGAGAAAAATGAGAGTTATTTTTCCATCTTCTCTCTGGATGAAGAATATAGTTCAGAGGAGAGTATATAGCAAGGAGTGTTCGTTCTTTTTTAGGATTAATCAACCATACTGCAGAATCAATGCATTCAAATCAGTAAAATGGAGGGTCTATTACATTCCTGTAGGGGAAAATATAATTCTGTTATTATTCCCTTTTCCTGCATATGTTAGTTTATATATTGCAAAATAGGTACGTCTTCAGAGGAGGCAATGGGCTTATTTGGACAATAAGTCCCAATTGCTCAGAGACACGATAATAGTTTCATTGTATGAATTGCTTTTTAAAAACATTTTTGCTACTTTACTTCCAGAGGGCATGTTATATTTAGTAGATTTTTATCCCACCTTTATTACTTTATAACAGGGGTCCCTGACCCCTGTGCTGTTGCCTTTTGGGAACTGGGCCAACAAAGCAGTAGGTGAGTGCACAAAGCTTCATGTGAACATGTGCAGGACTTAGGTTGCTTACGCAAAACCTTCCCCCCACCACAGAAGCTGCCAAAGCCACTGCCGCTAGTCCATGGAACCAAATAGGTTGGGGACCCCTGCTTTATAAGTCAGCAGTCCCCAGCCTTTATGGCTTGGTGGCTAGCAGGGGGGAAGAGGAGAACTGGCCCGTGCAAGTGGTTGGCCGGTTTCTACATGCATGCGCACACCGGCTCATCACTTGTGCAAGTCGAGATGTGCTCACATGTGCCAGCCCACCACTTATGTGAGTAGAGCTGCATGCACACTTGCCAGCCCACCATTCACGTGGCCCAATTCCAAAATGGTTACGGCCAGGTAGTGGGCCGCAGCCCAGGGATTGGGGACCCCTGTTATAAGTAACTCAAAGTGGCAAACATACTCCTTCCTATCTCCTATTTTCCCCACAACGACAAGCTGATGGAGTGGGAGGGGGTGAGAGTTACCTTTAGCTTTCATGCCTAAAACAGAATTAGAGCTCAGTGTCGGGATTTCCAGGCCAGCACCTTAACTGCTATAGCCAAACTGATTCATTCTCTTACATGATGGCTTGCTATTAGGTTCTCCATGCCACTGTTTATTGGGAAGATCTGCCCAGGGTGAACGAGTTAAAAGAGAATGCTTTGGGAATGCGAGCATGAGACAGAGAAAAAAAAATAAAAAACTGGCTGTTGAGGCAACATCCCTTGTATTTAGCAGCTCTCCCCTGCCCTTTCACTCTTCTTCAATCTGACTGGTAACTTGGTTTCCCTTCACAGTTAATAGATTTACAGAAGTTTTCATTAAGCTGTTTGAACTGATGGTAAAAATCAGCGTGAAACCCTGTCCTCATTATTCTTGTTAGGATGGTCGATTGAGACCTGGTGACCAGCTTGTATCTGTTAATGGGGAATCATTGATTGGGATCACCTATGAAGAGGCAAGAAATCTAATCAACCAAACACAGCCGAGGTAACCATTTGTTATAAAACCAAGCATCCCAACATTCATTCTCAGATTATGTTTATGTATTTAACTCTCTTAAAATTGTCAAAAAGAGTTTTGGACACGTGCTTCTGAAAATGTGTGTGATAATTTTATAAGTAATCATGGGAAATTAAAGTATATGAATGGATTTCACTCGGGGCTTCATTGAATTGTGCAGAACGTATTTTGTTCATACCGTGTTTCTCCAAAAATAAGACGGTCTTATTTTGTTTTGCAACCCCCTACCCCAAATAAGCATTTGGCCTTATTTTCGGGGAGGTCTTATTATTTTTGAGGTACAGGAGGTGGCAAGTGTGGTCACCTCATGGCTGCTGCTGTGTTGCAATATTTTTGGGGACAGCTTATTTTGGGGGGGGAGGGCTTATTTTAGCATCTGCGTTCAAAAGCCTGATTGGGCTTATTATCCGGGGAGGTTAGCGTTAAGGTTTTCACAACTAAACTACAGGTAATCCTTGATTTATGACCACAATGGAGCCCAGCATTTATGTTGCTAAGTGAGACATTTTTAAATGACTTTTGCCCCATTTTACGACCTTGCCACATTTGTTAAATTAATTGCTGCAGTTGTTAAATTAGTAACACGTTTGTTAAGTAAATCTGGCTTCCCCATTGACTTTGCTTATCAGAAGGTGGCAAAACCTGATCAAATGACCCTGGGACACCGCAACCGTCATAAATATGANAAATGTGTCTTCCCTTTAGAAAGGATTGGTGCATTTGCTACTTAAAATCAAGTCTGATTTCTAGAATTGGGCTGTTTGATCTTTCTGATCATAGATTTGTTAATCTATGAGAAAACCATAATATAACCCTGGCAAAAGTAGAACATTTCTCTTCCTGTTTGTAGACAGAGGAATTCATCCATTTTGCTGTTCCCTAGCAATACATTGAGTGGTGACAGATCTCCAGATTTGAGAAGACAGGATGGGGGAAAGTTACTAGTCAGCCTTAAAAATCAATATGGGGAAAGCTTGGGCATCTTGACAAGCTTACTTTTGTGTTGGAATTTGCAAATTAAAAGAGCCTTTAAGAAAGTACATAAAGAATTCTTGCTGTTTCAAGTCTGCCTTTGAAAATGAATCAATCTTGCATATTCCGTGCCACACAGAACTTCCAACCTGTAGTTATGCAACTGTAGTTGAAACATGATGGAAATATCTGACAGAAAATCTATTTCAGTTATCTATTGTCTAATCTTTAATACCATTATTCTTGTTTTCCATGAAGAAATGTTGGTACATTTCTTAACTGTTGTGTTAAGGCAAAACGCAGGATTTAGCTCAGCCAGCAGCAAATAAGCTAAACCTCTATTCATGAAAGGTCTCGGATCAACACATTCTAAAAGATATTAAATGATGTATTGCATCTTTACCCTTTTTTAAAAAAAAATTATTGCAGGAAAGAATTTCTGGCCTTGATGGAGAAGTACAGTTCACACAATAACTCCAGTAGGAATTCCCCAACGCAGATCCTAACTGGTAAGGGGTTGCTTATGTTTTCACTCTGCAATATAAGAGAATACTAGAAAATGCTTCTTGGCCTAATGGCCTCCATTAATATTTCAGGTTGGTAGAGATGCTTTCGCGAATTGGAAGGTAGACCTTTAACCCAGATTTTATGGGCTGATGTTTGATGGACAGAAAGGACACTTCAGTTCAATCAAAATTTTATATATATAATGAACTGAACAGTATAATAGTAGTGTCATACTGCCCCCTAAGGTTCATCTGTACATTTCCAAATGTTTGGTGGTTTGAGAACATATTGAGCCTATAATTCCAAAGTGTGCCAGGTAAATAATTAACTGTATTCTCAGGCGATCACTGGCTAACACTGCTGTGTTATGATTGCCACAGTGAGAAGAAAAACACTAGTAAACCAGCTGTTCAGGACCGTTTCAAGCCCCAGAATCCCGTATTACACATAGGTTACCATGTCGTATGTCAATTCCAATCAATTAAAGCCTATGCAGGGCCTTGCTTTGTAATATAGGAAAATGTTTCTGGCTTAGTGTTTAAAACTGAAAGAACTTAATTGTTGCTAACTTCTATTTTGTCAAAGTGCTTGCAAGTTTATTTATTGCCCATGTGAAGAGTAGAGTTCACATCTAATGAGTTTAGAGATTCTAAACTCATTAGAGTTTAGATTAGAAGATTAGAGTTTGAAGCACTTATAAGAGGCTGAACAGAGCAGATTGCAATTCATTGTAAAGGATGGTTTGGGGCCTATCAGCTTGTTGTAGTTAAATTATATTTTCCCTTTGCCTTTTTCCCAAGGAGCTCATGGTGGATTGATTTTTCTCACATCCTGTTTTCCTTCACTGTGAGGTAGGGTAGGTTGAGCTTTATGACTGAATGGCAATTTGAAGTGAGGTTTCCCCAGCCCTAGTCCAGCAGTCTGTTAAATTATAACTCTCTCTGTTTTACTGGAGAGTCATTTCTGCCCTTACTGGTAGGCAGTTTAGTCTGAAAACGTTCATAGATGAAAGTACTACTTACAGTTCTCAGTCCTCAATTTACAACTGCAATTAGGAACAGACTTTCCATTGCTAAGTGGGGCAGTTGTTAAATGAGCTGTGTCCGACTTTACAATCTTTTTGCTGCAGTCATTAAGTGAATCATGCAGCTGTTAAGCGAATCCAGCTTCCCCCATTGACTTTGCTTTTTGAAAGCTTTTCTGGGAAGGTCACAAATGACCAGAGCACTACAATCGTCATTCAATACCTGCCAGTTGCCAATCACCAGAATTTTGATCACATGATTGTGGGGATGCTACAATGGAATTCTGGAAATTGAAGTCCACAGGTCTTAAAGTTGCCACGGTTGGACACCCCTGCTACAAAAGATTTGGGATTACATTTGGCCCTGAAATTACCAGTCTCTTCCCTTCCTTGATGTCAGGGAACTCACTTAAGATGTTCCTAATACAACATTGTGATCCTTGGATTGGACCCCATTCTTCACCCCTACTTTAAAATAATAGAAGATTTGAACAAGAGGCAGCAATCTTTGTGGTATTGAGCAGTTGCTTGCTTTAGTAGATACTCATTTTGTTTCCTTGACTCTTTTTTTTATTCCTCCCCGCAAAGGTGTTGATAGCTTTTCTTCCGGAGCACCTTCAGTGAGTCATTCACTATTTCATCCAAAGGACACTGTGACAAACCTCCCGGGAAGGCCTGCAGCGGTAACATCACTTCAAGCCATCACAAAGTAACTATGTGAAGTTTGTTTTTCATGGAGAGTTTGTGGAAAAGACAGGATGCTGGGCTTAAAGCACAGGAATATTAGCGTTTCCAAAGCCTCCCTTTTAATCTTAAGATTGTGAGCTGTCAATACTGACAGAAGGTTCTCAAAAGGGCATGGGTTTTGATTTTTGTTTTATAAGTTGTTTCTCTGCCTGGAATTAACTATGAAAAATGTCATAGCCAGGCTCTGCTGCCATTTTCTGTAGTTTGCTTGCACTTATTTTTCTTAAGTGGTCTCAGTTTTTAAGGAGCATAGAATCTTGTCCTATGTCAGTTCAGAGGTAATCTTTTGAACCCATTCAACAGAACTGAAGAAGCCTCTTGGATGAGAAGGGAAATGTTTTTAAAGAAAAAAACCCAAGAAGGTCCAGTTGCCTTTTGGAAAAAGCACCTTTGGGACAACCATGACCCAGATGGTTATGAATCCCCATAGACATCTTTCCATCCAATACTGTCCGGGTTTTCCTATGACCTTCTCCAAATCCNTGAACTGCCTAGAATCAACTGGAATAAGAGATCACCTAAATCAAATTAAATTAAATTAACTTCCTGAGCTTAGCACCAGGAAGTTCTCAAAAGAATGAAAAGAGCATTGCAGGAATCGAGTCTGTTCTTGTTATTGTTAGTGCAAACCAGCTAAATAAAAATAAAACATCACCTTCTAAATGGTGGAAGGAAACAGTGGAAGGAAACAAATCAGTTTAATCATTTATTCATGACTATTTCTAAAGATATCTGCTTCTCTTACCTTAATAGGCTCAATGTTTCAATTTTTTAAAACAATGGATTTCATAAGTTGCAACCACTCTGAAATCAACCTTCTCTTTTCTATTTCAAAGGACCTTTGTAGGCCCGCATGGAACGCATCGAACTATACACCATGTTTCATTTTCAGACTGCCAAAATGGATTAGGTAATCAGATTACATATTCAATTTACTCTAATGAAGTTGGAGAATTGCCATACTATTTTGGGCAGGTGGTCCACTCTGATTTATAATCAGAGGATTTATAATCTTTGCAGTTATTTAGCAATTTCCATGGTATGTTTATCACAGTGGGGAAAATAACCTATTTATATCTTTGTTTTAATTGCTCAACAGGCATTAAAATTATTGGAGGCTGTCAAGATCAATCCAAAGAAGAGTATGGAATTTTCATAAAGGAGATATTACCTGAAAGGATAGCTGGTACAGATAGTAAATAATTACTTGTGATCTTCACTGGTGGCAATGCTGCTTTTTAAAAAAAAGCTGTAACAATCGATATATTCATTTTTTTAAATTAAAGATCCACACATCCTGACCATCTTCTTTTTCCTACCCCTACAGAACTCCCTGTATTCCAATCTTTTAGAGCAGATTACATAGGAAAAGCTGGGGTCACCATATCCATCCACTTGTAGAAATAATTTTATCATTTGGGTGGGGGGAGTCCCTGGATTTCATCCAGTAGATTCAAGTGAGAGAATTCTAGGCACACTATATACCTGATTTAATTTGGCCCAAAGAGAAATTGCAAATCTTATACACAATAAACTACGTTGATGGATGGATTATGATGTTGTGAAAAAAGGAGAAATTTAATCAGCCAGGATATTAGAAGAATTTGCTTTTAGCTCCAGGTAGTCATGGAGTGTTTTGGAGGAAATTACCGTATTTTTCAGAGTATAAGACACACCTCCCCAAATGAAATGAAATGAAAATTCATCTTTTTATTCACCTTCCAACCTCTTATGTATTAGCTGGCAAGACTGCAAAACTGTCAGTTCCCTCTGAGTAGAACATTGTTGATCATAAATTGTTGGTGCACAAGATAGGTATATTAGTGGGGAATAAATAACTAAGTCAGAAAAACAGGTATTAATATTTAGTTCACTAATTCAAAGCAATAATATGGGATCAAGGTATTATAATAGGCACGTTGGATAGTAAGATTCATATGATAGTTAAGTTACCCCCAATGACTTTTTTATGTTAGAAGGGCATATAAAAATAGTAAAATGGCAGAAAAGATAAATGAAAGATTGCCTTAAATCATTACTATGAAGTCATATTTAAAAATATAAATAAAATAAACGTAGTGATTCTGCAGTCAGCTAGAAAGTAGCTAATTACTAATATTGTAGCTGTGTCATTTTGCTGAAAATATATCAGAAATAATTCTAACATTTTTCTGTCGTGATGTGTTTTTTTGCGGAGGGGGGGGGTCTTTGAGTTTGTGTGTGTGTACAGTTTTTTTCCTAAATAAACATTTTGTTTTCTTGATGTAGCTGATTTGTAATTAACTATCATGGTTTTTTTTTTTTTCAAGATCAGTTGTGTATTGGAGATTTGATTTTAGAAGTGAATGGCCAAAAATTATGTGGTGTAACTAATGAAAAGTAAGTTCTAACATTTAATTATAAGCATGAACTGTAATAGTTAACATTTGTATTTGCCTGTTAGTATTTTAAATGAGCATGTAATCAGTTCAACTCATAGAAAACAATTAGATAAAATGAATTATGGTGATGCTTTTGTAACACCTCAGTGGAGAAAATCAGTACATTTAACTCTTCATTTTTAACTTTACAGAGCTGTTGACATGTTACAGATGGCATCGGCAACCAATCACGTGTCTCTGTTTATTGCCCGAGATGAAGATGCAAAGTAAGAAANATGTGAACGGTGGGCAATTTTGTTTTCATTTATTTTAAAACTTATATGCCATTCGACTCCCGGTGATTACTAATAGCTAATTGGGGGTGGGGGGGGGGGAGAAATCAATGAAGACCTAAGAAAAGAAGGTGAGATTACTGATTGCAATGTAACAAAGTTTGGACTCCCTGTAAAGTTTTATCAATGAGGCATAACTATTACATGAGAAGCAGTTTGTTTGCAAATATTCACTGTTTATTGATTATCTGTCTACAGCAGTTTTAAGGCAATTTGCAGTTGAAAATTATGCATGCTAATATTATAATGCATACTTTCTGTAAAAAAGAAACAAGAAAAACAGAAATTAAGTAATCAAAGAGAAAATAAACTAATTAAGAGCAAACTCTTCATGCTCATTATTGTCAACTGAATAGGACTGGGTGTCATGTTTAGCTTCATCCGATTACTACTCCTGTTGTATTCTTTTCTTATGCATAAGGCATTCAATCTAAAGAAATTCTATACATGGTCATTGCTATTGCTGAGGAGAGTATGACTATCAAATGCCTAATGAGCTAGGTAAATTACACATCTTTAACTTAAAGCATCTAGTTATTTGCTAATTAATACTATCACAAATAATTTCTTTGAACTCCTGGCTTGTACATGGCACACCTCAAAGAAATAACTTGTTCTAGTTGGTTTGGCTCTCCAATCTTATGTCCTCTGTATATGTTGCCTTTCAGCTCCCAGCAGGCATGGTTTTTATCATATTTCTTGGATATTACATAGGGTATAAATTCAACATATCACAGGGCACCAGGCTGGATGAACAACGCAGCAGCCTGAATTTTTCTGCACAAAGTGGGTTCATATTCACCCACTTTAATTTGCTTTATGAGAAGAAATAAATCTCTGAAAAACATCATTCTTTCTTTTGAGGAAAAAATCATTTTCATGTATTCTTTTAGCTATAGGAAGCAGCCTTATTCTGAGAAGATAATTAGTATTCAAAATAATTGTCTATATTTGCTGTTAAATTAGATAGCACTTCTCCCAGACCGATGTTTAATGCAGAAGAAATATTTTAAATAGCCTAAGGGGAAGTATATGTCCTAGGAGATGTGGGCTGGTTTCTCCATTATCGGAATACTTCCTTTATGGAGAAGCCTATCTATGATTAGAACATGATTGCATCAAGGCCTCCTGGAAGAAAAGAAAAAAGCAGTGCACACAAAGCATGATTCTCTTTGAAATAAACACTCAACTAAAAGCATGTTGCATTTCTCAGAAATTTCAAAATCCAGAATAATGTAGTTATACAAAACTTTCAAAAAAAGAGTCTTTTCAAGACCAGATTCCCATAGAAAACAAACCTTATTTTAGATGATAATGCAGTTGTATCAACTATAAGATCAGAGGCGGGTTGCTAATTCTTTTACTACCAGTTCGGGCCGCTCCCGTGCTCACTCACACCCACATGCGTTGCTTCTGTGCATGCGCCGAAGCATTCGGGCAGGTGGGTAGAACCTCTCACCGCTGCTACTACCGGTTCAGCCAATCCAGGCCGAACCGGCAGCAACCCATCTCTGTATAAGATTCATGTGACTGCTTCAAAACCAGTTCCTACATCTCTGTAGGTGCATAGCGGTTTTACTTCATGATTTTGCCCAGACCTAGAGAATAATATTTTGTTCCACTGAGTGATTGGGTTTGATTTTGTGTTTCTTTTTGGTACTGACTGAGAAGGGACTTGTCCTAGATTAGACTAGAATTCCAATTAGAATCCAAAATCCAGCCCTGTTTAATTGTTGGAATCTACACACATGATTGTACATTAAATAAATGTACAATCATATACATAAACACCACCACCAGAGGAGAGACCAGAAGTAGAGAGTGCAGCGGATGTTCTACAGCTTTTTAAAGCTGTATTTGAGAAATTTTGCCTTCAGTGTTTCTAAAGTACCAGCATGCAGTTTTAATAAAAAATTATATAAGTAATGTAGAACATGGTGGTGTTTATTTTTAATGGTATTCATTATTTCTAGCTTGTTAAAAAATGTCATGAAACAATGAAATCCTCAGTGCTATAAGTTTACTGTGAAATGCCTTCATCTGGCAAGTTGTAGATTACTTAATGCACATTAAATATATATGCACATATTTACGAGGGAGGCAAAGAATTATACTCAGTGCTGTTTTGGATCACTGATAGTCAAAATGATCATTTAGGCATTCTCCATGTGAAACAGTCAAGGGAAAAATAACTAGTTCAATTTGAAAAGCAGTGGAAGAATCAGTATCAAATAGTAAATTGACTGAAAATGTTTTTCAACATAGCATCTGACAGGTTGATGGGTTTTTTTAACTAGGATCCCTCAGTGAAGAACTACCATGTCACAAATCCTGAGATACTTTTGCTTACTCCTATGTCTAATGTAGCACTCTCCTCTTTTTTTGTGGCTCTTGATTTGGTTGACTTGGTTATCATTAATTGACACAGACTTCTGATAAAGTTGTTTGTAGTTTGCTTTGCTAATCCTGTTTGAGAAGGGAAAATCAGTATTATTGAAAGATTCTGCTAATCTTTATTCTACGGACTGATTACTATAGTAAAAGTATTGTTTTGCATACCGTAATAGTTGTTATAGTAAACTTGTTGGGTGTTTGGCAAAATGTAAGCACATTTTTTTCTCCATAATAGACTAATAATTTAGTTAATAAAAACTGAACATCAGTATTTAGCCTGGGACCTACTTTAATAAATAGTACTTCCTAATTTTTATGTTTTTCTTTCACAGATGAAAACTGAATTCAAGAAAGGAGAGCAATTTTGTACATTTTCTACAGACAACAGTTTCATTGGTGTATCAGCTGGAGGTACTTATGTTTGTTCACCCTCTATTTGTTGTTACTACTTTTCACATGAGTAATATGTAATTTGTTTTCTTTTCTTTAAAAAAACAGTATGTGGGCCTTTTCTTTTGACAATGTGAATGAAAAACTGAAATGAATGAATTGTTGAGGTATCTTTTTCAATGACAACTAAATAAAAGTTGATTGTCCTTGTTTGTAACATTTGCTTGTATAGTATGACATTTAAACAGAGAGATTGTGGTTGTAAATCTCAGGGTACAATACAAACTTAGTTACACCAAGGAAGCTGCAAAGACTTAGGTGAAGCAAGTAGGCCTTTGTGTTCAGAGTGTGGATGAGAATCCTTCTAAGAAAAGATACATACTGCTTTAAGTTCCATGATGAAAATATATATACAAGGATGGGTTCCTACCGGTTTGGACCGATTTGGTAGTGGTTTGGCGGCGTGGGTCTCTGGAACTGGCAGCGACCCAGGCCTGCCACACACACCCCAACCGCTTTTCTTGTTTTTCGCTTCTGCACATGCACAGAACAATTTTTATAGCATTGCACATGTGTGCACAGTGTGCATCAAGCCCGTGCAGTGCGCCCACGAGCAAACTGGCAGTACTACCTGCCAGAACCCACCCCTGCAAGGATGTAAATGTAAGGCAGGATGAAGGCCGTTTTAGAAGTTAAAATGACAGTATATATAAATACCCAATTTATTTCTGAGATCTGTTTTTTGAAAAATAGCTCCCTCCTCTCCTACTTGTGTGACCACCTATTTTAAAACAAGGAAAAGTTTAAGGACGGTTTGTGATACAGCTATTTCAAAAGAGGAACACTGAGTCTCCTTAGATCATATCTCAATCTTTGGAAAGCAGATCACTGGCTCCCATTCACAAACATCTCTTGTTTAGTGAACGGAAGAACAAGGATGCAAATTACTTAAGGTTGCAAGTTTCCCAGGCCTTGTGTTACTCCAGATCTATATTGGGAAGAATAACATGTTAGAGGCACTCCTTATGTCATATCAGTGCTGATGTTGGGTGGAAATTGAAATGATCCAACATACAGTATTTTGAAGCCTTGCATCATTGTGACTTTGAAAAAAAAGTGATTTGACAAGATCCCCTCCCCCCGCAACAAAATAATTGCCATAAGAATGATTTTTATAAGTATATTCACAACCAGTCGGTCTCCTATGTCTTGTTAAAAAGATATATCACAGGTACAAGCTGTATATATAACTTTTATTGTTTAAATAATACCTTTTTGTTCCACTTTGTCTTTGTCAATTAAACCCTAGGTATGTGTATTTCCCATTCTTCTTAATTTCTTAGTGGGTAAATATAAAAGGGCTTAACAGCATCTGTAAGTTTCCATTTTAACAACATCTTGTTTAATATTTAAAGGGAAAAAATAATCAACATTTGGCATTCAAGCGATTAGCTGAGTTGTTTGAACAGCAGGAGTTTAGAACATATCCTTCAGCAGAAAAAAAATCCAATTAGATTTCCAATTAATGTGCAACCTGTTGTCTCATAGCTGTTAGCCCCTCTTGGAGAATTGATTATGGACCACAAAGGAAGATTTCCCTCAATCCCTCAGTTCGCCTCAAAGCAGATAAACTAGAGATGGTAAATATCTCCTTGTTTTAATGTTTGTTCTTAATGTAATGTGATAGCTTTCAGATAAGTTTTCAGAATTCATTTTAATATTACTTCAAAATAAAATTACTATTCTGCTTGAGTCAATAATTAATTCATCAAGCTTATCACTTACGATGCCGCATCTATATTGATATGTGATGAAATTATTTAGTCAATTGAAATGATCTAACTGTATCAATCTGTTTTGGAATTTGATCCTTCAGTTTAAGCTGTGATTTCATTTGCTAGCTTTGGAACTGCTTAACATTTCTTTGTTGTTTTGCAAGCCATATAGGATGTTGATTTATTCATTTTGACCCACCCTGTTCCCCCTCCCACCAAACAGTTGGAAAGAGGTTGCAGGTGCCTTCGAGTGACCTTGTATGTTTTGTTTTGTTTTTTGTATTCTTGCTTCAGCAGCTGTTATATTTTAAGATGCAAGCCATTTCAGAAAGTGTTAAGTTGCCTTTTCAGAATAAGAAGATAGTGTAGCAAAAAAAAAAAAGTTTTAGCTATGCCTGCAAAGCACATAATTTATACATTTTAACTTACAATTAGGATCCCAAGGGGCAAGTGTGGTTTTCCATGCCTTCATGTTTTGTTCATTCTTACCTAACCAACATGTTTCCATCTTGCCTTTGGCAAGACACCCAGGCAAAATTTAGTTGGCATCAAACTTGCCATCCTTTTTAGTCAAGGCGGAACAATAAATTGTCTTAAGAGTATAACAGCTGTAGGAATCAAGTCAAAAACTTTTCTAAGTTGTTCGCCTCCCTGAGTCCCGCTGGGAATAGGGCGGCATATAAATAAAACAAATCTCAATCTCTAATTCTGCATTTTCTTTGTTTATTATTGCATTTATACCTTATATACCGTATTTATCGGCGTATAACACGCACCGGCGTATAACACGCAG